TACTGAATCCTAGATGCAAGCGGCCACTAGTCTGTGAATGTATTTTACACGGAGATAAGGACAAGTTGGTTAAAAAGTAACGTCTTCCTCTGAGTTTCCACTGACATTGTTATGGTGGTATATTCTGGTGAAGCCTGGGCCAAGTCTGCGCGGTTGGTACACCAAACGTTTTTGCTAAAGTTGTACTGTGTTCTTTGGCATGTTTTGATGATATCACAGAGGAAAGTGATCTCTCTGATGAAGATCTGCAGTGGTTTCCACGTCAGCCAGTTGCAAGATTTTGACTACATATTGAGAGATCTGATGGCTAGAATGCAGCCATTTCTAGCATTAAAATGAGTTGCTTGCTCCAGCTGTTGTAAAAAGTACGTATTCGTTGTTAAGTAGCAGGTCATCGATTCGCGACGGAGTCATTTGTCCTAGAAAACAGCCCCATTGGTTACTGTGAGGCATTTTGAAAGTCGCCTAGAATTAGAAATGGAGTCTGTAGTTGATTGATCAGGTCTTGTAGATCTGCATTTCGCCATGCAGGCATCGGGTAAGTATATACATACCGTCATCTTCAATGGCTTGTGTTAGGGTTACAGCTCTGCTTGTAGAGGTCGGTGTCGAGACAAGACGACTAGCAGATGAGTATTGCTGATCAATTATGTAACACCCCTCAGCTCGTCTATCAGGTTCTACGATACTGCGAAAGTTTTATATCCTCTAAAATTTGAAACGGTCTCTGCGTTTAAAATGCAGTTTCTTGTAAGCACACAACTCATTGGTGTGTGATTGCACAGTAGCAATTTCAGCTCACAGTAATTCGAGATACAGCCGTTGATATTCCACTGAATTATATTTTCCATGTTGAATGGCGTTTTTCTGCTGTAAGAATACGTAGATCGTGTTTATTTTCTTTGGTTTTCCTTTTAGCCATCCTTTCTTCTTTTCGCTTTCTTACGCGGAGTTTTGCATAGATCGATGGATTGGTAATCATTATTTTCCAGCACTTACCATCGAAAAACTTGTCTTCAGAGCCAGTGGTGTGTGTATTGACAGTGCGTCAATCCGATTTCATTTTTTGTTGATATATACATACAAAAATGATGTCATCTTAGGAGAACGAGGACATAACGGACTTCGAAGACGCACTGAATTTACCCCGTGTCGAGTACTTCTTTGCTGTGGTCATGGGAGCTGCAGGCGCCAGCTTTACTGTGAGTTACATTAGTTCTGGGACCTCATTTGGGTGGGCGGGGTCTTGAAGACCTTCTTCCTTTCATCTCCTAGCTATTTCTGCTAGATGAGCTCGACTTGAAGTGCAGGTTAAGTTTTCTGCGAGTGTTCTCGATGTTTACTCTTGTGATCTTCGTGAAGTACTTTTTATGCATCGGGTTTATTGCAGGCATTAGTTCTTTCACTACTAAAGGAATGGGTATACATCTTGCGTCTCTTTAGGTAACTGCTCTACACGTACTTGTAATTCATTACCTCCTCTATTATTCTCAGGACTCACAACTCTTTTATGCTTCAGTTTATACGCTGGAGTGCGTTTTTTTCTGGCTGTTAGTACCTTGATTTGGAGAGCTTTTCCCATGCCTTTTAACTTATAGTGAGGGCATCTGTGCTTTTGTATCCTTCCGTTATGTTCCGTAAGCTGTTAGTCGCATGCAAATCTAGAATGTCATCCGTGGAATCAACTCTGTGGATGCTTAGGCTACTGGGCATTCTCCTCAACTCATCGTAAATATGTGCATTGGGTATCGCAGGAGCCAATGACGGATAGCTTTCAGTTCTGCTCGCCACTATCCTATTGCTGTGCGACGTTTCCTCACATATCGTCATAACATCTAGTTTTGTAATACTACCCTATCCTCCATTCTGCGTGTGTTTCTGTATGGCACAATTTGTCAACTCTTCTGATAGCGGTGGCGGGACGTAGTGGCGCAAATGCTCAGAATATATCAAAATCTCAGTGTGGTGAACGTGTCAACGCTCGATTGAACCTGCGAAAGCAAATGAAACCCCGAGCAACGCTGCAAATGGAGTAGGTATAGATCCTACTGCTCCGAGCGCGTCTACGGTACTATTAGCCTTAACGATCATATGGCACTGTAGTCCTTGCAAGAGAGCAATTCAGGTAGGTCCTTCAACTAGATATTCCTTCGTTCGACGGTGCAGTCTGTGTTTAGAGTGCGTCAGACTAGGCAACCGGGAGTAGAAACACCTCGTGCCCACTCTGTAGTACAGTGCAATGCCGAGTGCGGCGTGCGGATCACTCCGGCACAGGTGAGCGCGACTAGCACTTCAGACTTCAAGCTAGTCTTAATCAGGTGCCATTTTCTTCAATCTACTGATGTAATTAGTCTCCACACGTTCTATTGTCGCATTAACTCTTGGTGCTACCAAGCATCGCAGTATAGATAGGTGGCGTGTTCATGTGTGCGTGCCCACGGACAGAATTCCAGCGCAAGCGCTAGAATAGCTGCGCTCTTTCTTAGTATTATAAACGGGACTCACTCTTATATCGAAAATTTCCCTTCCGTTCTCTTTTACAAATGATAAGAGTACTGTGCCCGGAGTTCATATTGCCAAAAGGAATGAAAGTTGGAAAATCAACCAAAACTATTGTAGCATGCGCTTGCTCTGCGATAGTTATTCAACGCACAGGTCATCAATAGTTCTTGTTTTTTGGTGATTTAGCATTTCCCAAGCTTTCATTCTTTTTGGCATTGAATCTCCGAGTCGACTTTTTTCTGGTACGAGGGTTTTTAAAGGAGTAATCCAACTTCAAACCCTATATTCAGCAGTACTCATACGATCCCGCCAAGGCTTGCTATCACTCGTAGCCTCCCCCCCCAATCTGTCATTGGTGCACGAGTGATCCCCACCCCTGCGGCATTGCAGTCGCGGGTGAACGACGCCCGGGTGGCCTGCTTGCGCACCACGACCAGCCGTACTGGAGGCGTCCGATCCCCTGCACCCGTAACTGTCGATCCTGGACAATCCTTCCATCTTGGGTTTTTCTCAGGCGTCCACCTTCCCCTAGCGTTTTTGAGCTACCGCCAGCTTAAGGAAAATGAAGGAACAAGAGGGGACAGAGAAGACCAGAAGTTAGAATAGAGGTAGAAATGGAAACGACTCTCCTAGCCCTCGCAACCTAATAGCGTCGGGGCGGAAAACACAAGAGTTGCAGATACAAAGATTGGCCTACAGGACAGAAAACAGATGTGTAGCCACAAGTAAGTGGAAGCAATGACACACGAGTTTGTGGGAATGACGGATGTTTAGGGGAGTGACAGCGGACAGCTGCTCCGATTAGTCGCCTTTCTACGAAGGGGAGGTCCGTGGTGCTATTCGACTAAAATCCCCGACACCCACACGGGGTTATTATTTATTATTATTATTATTATTATTATATTATTATTATTAGGTGATAGGATATTGGTGAAAGGTGATCGTGGACTTTTTGAACAATCACAGCATTCGCCTTATAACCAAGGGAATCCAGATGACGATGGCTGGCCCAGGAATCGAACCCAGACCTCCCGGTTGCGATGTCAGGGCTCTACCCACTGAGCCACTTCGCTCGGTCCGACAAGAATTCTACCGCTTCCATCATTTCCTTCTGCCAATTCTAAGCCAAGGCGGAGTAGCAGATCGCGAACGATCATTCTTTTCTCGTTATCTAGAAATCCATAACAGACGATAATTTGTAGTTGCAGGTAAAAATCAACCTAAAAAATCACTAGCAAGGTGGTATTTTCATCTTAAATCTGACTTGAAATGAATAATAACATTAATTTTTATAGAGATTATTTTTGCAACTAGCGTACCCGTGCGAGAACTCTCGCATGTTAATGTCCACCCTTTTTGAATTGAATTGAATTTGCCTTATTTTACGTGACGAGACTCGGGCCATCAGGCCCGCTCTTCCGTCTGACCACGCAAATTTCGCTACGCTCCTTTCAACTAGCAGAGAAAGAAGGTATTTCTTGGGCGAGAAACAGGCGATTTGAATTTAGCTCAGAGGCGTCATTTAGGCTTGAGGATCTTTTACATGAAAGTAAATTTACGAACATGGGACAGCCGGATTTACTTCCCCTCCGAAGGAAGGCGTACGAAGGATTTTTTCGCCCGGTTTCGGGTTTGAACCCGCCAACTTGGGTACAACAGTCCAGTACGCTAACCGTTACACCATCGCCGCCGCCAAACCTTTCCCTCTCCATTGCTCTATCCTTTCCATTAAGAAGGAAATTTATTAATGAAACGTGTTTATTTGTTACAAAATGTATAAATGTCCGCACTTAGAGAATATCAAACAAAAATAAAAACAATGCAAATAATGTGGGAAACAAATTTTTAATAAAGATTAATTCAGTATTATATAGATATGTTCTGCGAACAATTTACACTTCCTTAAAAACAATATTTGAAGTAATTCAATCTGCCATAACAAATAGATTTCCGCTTTCCTTGATAGTCACAAAAATATTAAAGAAAGGTTTTTACTTCTGAAGAAGCCAAGTAAAGCTTCCCATGCGAAAATACAGGATCGGGAAAGTACAACCCTTCTCTTGGCAATAATATTTAACTTTCCTGGATTTGTTATCAGGAACAGAGAGGGTTTGGAGGGGCAGGATGCCAGCTTGCTGTGATGAAAAAATTGAAAAATTACCGCATTTGTATACTAAAAAGTATTGGATTATTTTCTGCGTTCTTATGTATCTCAAGTAAAGCATTTCCGAGCCCCCAAAAATTATAAAACTAATATTTTCACCTTTTGCACTCTTTTTGTAATTTGTCTCGATTGACTTCGAGGAAGTTCGAGAATAATAATAGTGAAAGAGAAATACAATCATTTCGAGGGTCTCAATATAACCTACTACTAAGCCTCTTTATTGAGTGATATAAATTTATGAGTGCTACAGAGGCGGCTCTATCGTAAGGTCATATGGTCACGCGCTTCCCAAGTATTTAATATTTTTAAATTCTTTATATTGCAATATGAACCATTGCAACTTGAATATGAGTGCGCTATTGTTATTTTTGCTCTGAGGAAATGAACGAGGTTCCGTAAAGGCATCTGTATGAAACCTGGCAACAGGGCTGCTCACGGGAAGTCCGCTCGCCTCGCCTCGCCTCGCCGTGCGCCGGGGTCTGTCTTCGTGGAACGGCGCGATTTGAGAGGGGGCAGTGCAAGCATACGCACAGGTCTCCAATTCTGTGTGACCGCGCCGACAGTTCTCCCATAGACAAGCGCTTCAGTCTAGTGTTTATTCGGTTCGGCCCCAAGAGATGTGTTAAAATACTTTATTTTTTTCAAATACTTTATTTTTTTTGTTTTTTTTGTAAAGTAATTGTGAATGTCAAGCCAAACAACATGAATCAAGTAAGGCTTTTACAAAACAGAAATTTAAAATATGAAGACAGAATTTTAAGAAAAGAATTAGGCCCACAAAACCAGACTTGTGCATCAATCAGGTGTTCAGTGATAAATTTTCTACTATACGATATATTTTTAATTGATCAGTGTACGAGAAATGGGAGTGGATTTGTGGATGCCAGGATAGATATTTTTCCTTGTCTTCTGTTCGGAGGCGACGAAACATGGACTAAGAGTGGCAATAAATGTATCAAGCATTTACCTGGGAAATGTAAATAACCTGCTCTCTCGAAAACCCACCGAAACAATAAAATAAACTTAAAAGTTCTGGGGAAAATTAGTATTAATCAGCAATTGGATGATGCATATAGGTTTTCTATACGTAAACATAATGAACATGTAGATTCAAATGGGTACATTTTAAGTTGCATAATTGATGCACTAAAATCCCGCGGCGAGTTTGAATAAGCTTTGCGAGGTCTCGGCGAACGAGAAGAAACAAATAAGCCAGGCGTCTTCAGGGGCTTAACAGATGGAGCGTCAAACCTTTGAAAAATTGTTTAGAGGAATTTCAAAGACAATTCAAATCGATATACTGGATGCAGTTTTCAAAATTTGCCAAAAATGTATTAATTTTAATGTACTTTGAAAGAGATTTTGTATTTTTACTTACTTTCTGCAGTAAAATTATGCTTCAAGTGACATTTCATTTTGATTCTGTTCAAAAAAGCTGTTCGATGCTGTAAAGATCAGAACATTTATCGATCTTTTCTGATGCAGTATCAAATAATCATGTAATGTATGAAGACGACCGAGCTTCTTAAAATGAACCAATGAATAAGAAACCATGTGTTGATCTCAGGGAGAGCAGAAGACATCGTTTTGTCGCTCTTAAAATACCTGATGTTATTGTTAACAGCAAAGACAGATTCGATTTCTCAGATCATCTCAGTGCTGTGAAATTATTACTAACTGAAAAATTTCTACAATATTCTGTGAAATTGTGATGTCTTCTCGCAAAGACGTACATGGTGCTTTTGGTGCTCTTGCGTTACTCAATTTTTTTGGAGAATAATATGTCATTAACTCCTTCGTATATCTTTAAAAAAGTATTGATACCACACCCATGTCCACAGTTGCGAACGAAAGATGCTTCCCCACTTTCAAACGTCTTAAAACATTTCTACGAAGGGCAATGGGCAGTGACAGACTAAAGCTAGCATTAGCTACACTTTCTATAGAAAAGAATGGTGCATGCATATTCGAAACTTCAACTCACAAGTAATCGAAATCCTTACTTGTGCCAAAGATAGGGAGATTGAACTACTCTACAAAAATTAAGTACGTCAGGTATGTTGGTTGACTGCATGTCACTTCGATTATTTATTTCAATGTCCTGGATGCCCTGAGCCTTGAGCGTATCCAGGCGATCGTTTACGGGAGGGAAGCATAGATTTTTGTTCCATAATAAACATATTTGTTATTATATAGTATATTTTTTTATTATGTATATATGATACTATACAATATTATTGTTTAAATAAATCTCTTTTATCAAACAAAGGAAGATAATAAACGAAACCTCGAGGTTTTTTGGGGAAAGGCTATGCCCCCTGCATCCGCCACTGTCCTGTGCCCTCCCTAGTTAGACTCACTGGAGCCGCCACTAGAGTGCTATACATTTTTCGAGGCAAATTTTCAATGAGCAAACTTAATATGATGCACATTATACATTACGCATTTTTCACAATCAAAATGAACTTTGCATATGATTCTAAAGGAATATAAACCCCAGAACATGGCATGGTACTCGCTTCCCTGTAATACACTAATGATTTGAAAAATGTGAATATCCCATAAAATCAGAATTCTGCATATCAACAAGAGAAATTTCTTAAAATACTCAAGGAAGATGATATGTTACTACGAATCAAATCAGCTTGATATGTGAATGCTCTATCAAGAAATGTGGAGTATCCTTTTCTTCATTAACTTTCGCATTGTTAACGAAATGCAATACTACATGTCAATCACTAGAGGATATGCTTTAAAATGCACAAAGGAAACATTGCCATTATGATAAAGCACCATTATCAGCCCACAATGCATTAAACGTCACTTGAGTGTTAATGACATTACAATGGAATTATAACAAAAATGAGATTGTGAAAGTGGATGCAATTCTGTTAAGGCAAATTTTCTTTATAAAACTACGAAACAATGCAGAATGTCTTTTCTCTTCATTGATTGAAAAGTTTGCATGTTTCAAAATATATTCTTGTCACAATCATCACTATTTTGTAAATGTAGCTAACTGACATTCTTGCCAGGACATAACAGCAGCTGCCATTAACATTTTATCACAACACAGAAACAACAATTGACATGGCCCAACACTAGATTTAATGACGTATGTTTATAGTATATAATTATGTACTTGAGCTACTCTGTGCATTACACAGAAACATTTTCATGAAATCAACCGACAATGTTGGTTACCTTTTCAATTGTAGTTCTGTTTTGTAAGTCTTTATGCCACATCATCAATACATTCATGATTACCTAAAATAATCTCATTAATTCCTTTTTTCAGTGAAATAGTCTAAATGATCTCAAAATGACATCATTTCTTCTCTGCTATGTCAGTGAAAAGGAACCCAAAGGATTGAAGTCATGCTGATGTGTACTATTGGCAGCAAGGAGATAACCCCAACGCTCCATTGCAGGCCAACAAACTCTTTGAATATTTCTCACTTCTTGATGAGACAAATCCTGACGCCAATGAAATGGCGCAGATTTTGAATTGCGGTATGTGCTTGAAGCACCTCCAACATCAACTTTTGTATGAGTATCCAGGAAATGTTTAACTCCGGGATGGAAATACAAGCCCAAGAAATCGAAGAGATCTTGAACCCCTGTGTATGGCTCCACAGAAAGATCTTCATAACGTACTACCCTGTACGAAAACATACAAAGGTATAAAAAAAGCAAATATTTATCAAATATCAGACTGAATACAAAAGAAATAACTTACAATATGTATGTGTGAATGATTTGATACTATTTGTAATCTGACTTTAATTACTGCATACATGGGGTTCATATATTTTTTAACAAAAATAATGGACACCTAATTTATCTCCTGATGGTAATAAAATAGAGATATATTACGATGACCTCTTTTATTTCATATTTTTTTTACAATTCTGGTTGTCAGGGGTCTTGTCTTTGAGATCTATCTGGTATTTTTTGTTGTTTTCATATAAAATAAAGGACACCGAAGATCCTACAGAATGGCAGAAAGTGTCTCATTCTAGTTTGCTCCATTTTCTTTTGAGTTGTGACTACGATTTCGGGTAAACAAAACCAATTGTGAAAAAATGAGAAAGTAGAAATTGAACTTAATAAATATTGTAAAGTTTTGGATGTCCGATTGAAAATCGCAACCACACCTTATTTATTAGTGCACTCAGCTCTATTTGGCCAAAAAATAATGAGAAAATTTTCGCCATTTTTGAAAAAATGTCCAATGGGAATCATGTAGAGCCCAACATTAAATGGGACTTTTTAAATTCATAGTTGTAGAACCGTGGGTCCAGATTGTTCAATGTCATACACATACCTGTGTGATTATTACCTGAACCTGTTTGGATATTTGGCGTTCAATTCCACTGCTGCACTGTAGTCTGCAACCAAATCCGAACAGAGAAGTGCAGGTTCTGCACAATCTGGATGATTGGGGCACCACACTCTATGCTTTTGGGACTGTACAGTCCCCTGCGGGTAACGAACCAAGAGTAATACCCGAACATTAAGGCTGGAAAAAAAAGTTAGTCAATTGTTAGAAACACTCGCATCAAAACAATAAATCTATAAATTACATTCATTCGAAAATACCTGGGGTCTTTAAGAAATTCTTCTACTAATTTGAGCCTTAGTCGTACAACTTTCATACTTTGGAATGGGAACAGACGACAGAACGGAGAGAGGAAATCAGGGGACCAACAAAGATCCCGATGCTCTTGGCATTGGGCCCATAACCTTGTGTTATGAGAAAAAATTCAATATGATTTTGACCGTAAGTGAGATAATGATCTGTAAAAACCTATTAAAAAAAATAAAAATAATGAATTGTTAGTCTCCTTACAGGCACTTTTTAAACAGTAGTTTACGTAACAAGGGAGCAAAACACGGCGATTTACGCACGTCGAGTTTTTCGTCTGAACGTTGCGAGGACGACAAAGAGACGAGTGCGGGAATCACCTCGCGCCCGTGTTGCGTATTCTATTTTTTAACACTGTGGGCGAAACGCAATGTCTCAAGTAAAGAAATGTAAAATGAATATCAAGTAATTAGATTTACCTTACTTTTTCACAAGCAAATGAATTCCAGTGTCCTAACACCATTGTTTCAAAATAATAAACAAAGACGTCGTCAAGACGAAAGGGCAATTGGGAATCATTACAGATGTTTCGCACCTGTGAAAAAATTAGCTGTTTCGCACACGAAGAGCTAACAAGCACGAGAAAGAGTTTCGTGCACGGTGTGTTAAAAAAGAAATATTTAAACAGACAGTTGCAACATATAATTATTTATTCTTCGTGTAGCACTTATACCTTAGTACAAAAGTGCGATCCTTGAATTCCGAGAACGTAAGAGATTGCAAGGTTTGACAATAAATATTTACAAATCGCCATGTTGATTGTCAGTGACGATTTAGTTTGAGTTGTCAGTGTACAACGAGTGCAAAGTGAACGTTTTGCTCTACCAATGAATCTATTGCACTTCGCGTAAATTTGACAGAAAAACATTATACGAAGCAAAAAAAAACTCAATAAGAGATCTTAAACATAGCTTCATTAATTTTAGTCTCAACAAAGACTATGTACAGAAAGAAAAATATTATCGGAAATATCCTATCGAATTCTATGTCCTTCGGGTATATCCTAAAATATTTAAGAATAGCATCATAAAGGCGTTCGCTTTCGCGATATGCAGTTCCTATTCTATTTTTTTAACTAACATATAATTGTTTAGTATGAAAGTGATAAAATGATTTCTGCTTCTGTGTAAAAGTTCGCAAGAAAGTGAATAAGAGAAGAGACGTTGAAGAGGTTTTGAAACTAATGTAATTCAAAAGAAAATATTCAAATTCATGGGTTGATAGGGTGATATTAGACAATGTTCTAATATTACTCTTGAACACATTGAAATATCATAAGGATATCGTTTTATTATTTTGGATAAAATGGATTAGGCTGTGATGCACTGAAGTAACTGAAGCTACGGAAACAAATTCCGAAGTTACGCCATGTGCATTGAGTAAAACTAGCAGATATTATATTGTGTATTTCATATACCATATTGAAATGTATCCCAATAGCAAAATTATAGCTTGTAACGTTATCGAAAACAAACATCTAGCAGTTAGCTTAAGAATTAAGAAAAGTATTTTAAGAATTCGATAAACTGCACAGAAAGACACAAATTTACCATTTTTTTCACAACAGCATTATTGACTAACAACATAAAAATGTGTATAATATTTTTTACATTAAACAACACATTACAATATTTCTAAAGAACTTATAAACTTCAAACATGATTAAATTTAATGCAAGAAGGATCAAAGAATCTACGTACCAAGACCTGTGTAGTTGCAGTTAAATAATGCTTTCAGATTTGAAACTGCTTCGGAAGCAAGAGGTTCTTCACGTATATGAATTATTTCATAATTAAATAGCGGCTCGTAGTGGTAAAAATTTGCTGGATGGCTATTCAGAACATCTCCCAGAAAGGTAGAGCCAGACCTCCACGTTGTCGCCACCAAAGTCCTGATTGGTTGACCTCCCGACTCAGGGGCAAGATCCTGCAATGATCTATATGAAACAAAACCGTCAATTTTTGAAAACAAATTCTGTAGACTCACAAATCAATAAATACGTTTTTTGATATTTTTTTACGTTTGTTGTATTTTTACTAGAGACCTATCATTTCAGTGTTAACCTTTCCGAAAAGAATTACACACCACCCTAAGGTAGGAATATTAAAAAGAAACAAAATTATCTATAATGCAAGAAAGATTGAAGGGAAACAAAATTTACCTTCATCTTTTCCCAACCCCCTTTCCAACATAGAAATAGTTGCCAGCCAGAAATAGTTGAATGATGAATAAAAGTGTAAAAAAAGGGATGAAAACTAGACATTTCACTCCCGAGTTATAGAACACTTTATTTTCATTGATAATCGAACTGAAGATTTCATATTCTTTGTATTGCTAACAAAATAGTAACACACCCCCGGCTCTACTCTTAACCCTACCAGCATATTCTACTTATACATCATACATATTGAAGACGTAACTAGTTTTGCAACTATTTTCTCGTTCTAGTTGGTTCCCTTTTCCGTTTAGTTTAAGTTATCTTTTCGGTTTTGCCTCATCTCTTTTCAGCTGTCATTTACGGGCGTCTAAAAGACAAATTTTCACGTTTTCTGAATTTTTCAGTTGCAAAATTACATTTGTATAATTTTGAAAAAATCAAAAGAATAAATAAAAATGGCGTTAATTCATGTCGTCGAGCATCCTAGGCAATTGCCAATTTCTGTCTACTGAGCTTCTGTAAAGTATGTCGCGGCGTAATCAGTTTCGGGGGTCGCTGGGGCCTAGTAAGCAAACGCCCCGTGCAGGCGCCGCGCGAGCGCCGCAAGCCGTCCGCCCTGCTCCTCCTGTCGCGCGGCCTCGGCCCCCGCGCATCGGCCTGCGGTGGCTCCACCACGCAGCCGGAGGAAATTGGCTTCATTTTATCTTTATTTAATACATGAAGATCAAAAGCGAGTGATAATGCCTCATGGAAATGATAACATAAAAATAAAGGTTTAAGAAAGAAAATGGAAAACAAAAAAATTATAAAAATACTATACTATATTCAAAATGCATGCCATCCCGAGCGGTTAATTATTAATAAAAGAAAACTAATTCTAAAACTTAATTACTAATGTACAAATCAACAAAGAAAAGCCAATAAAATTAAGATGAGCAAAAGTGAATAAGTTGATACCCTAATGATATGTAAGATATAATGATGAATAAGTTGAATGCAGCTAATGAGTACATTGTTTATCATCATCTAAACTCAACTTTCTCCGTATGGCACCGTCGGAGACAGAAGCAGGTAACTGAAATATGGAAGACGCCGTTCCCGTATCGATGTTGCCGGAGCTGGTGTCCTGTTGCGATGCGGATGGGATGATCCATCACAGTACATCACCGTCGAAGTGAATCCAGTTTCCATGATTCATTGAGAAAATGCTGATATGTCCTCTTGTTTTGCTTGTGGACGTAAATGAAGCTTCGCTATGCGCACGTTTTGTTGAACTCTCCTTTTGCTTGTAATGGTAAGAGTAGAGGTAAGAGCGAGTTTCTATTTTGTGAGCAATACAGAAAAATCATTCTTGCAATTCGTGCAAATAAGATGCCGATGCAAATAAGTTTTCTGTAATTCAGAAACGAAAATGACTATTTTTCAAATATTGCTTATCTTTCGATTTTTAAAATTTATTTTTATTTATTTCTGTTAAACGGTTACTCATCTTTCAATTATTTTTAATTGAAATGACGGCGAGGGATTATGGAATTCAAGAAAACGTACGGAGATCATCTTTTCTCCCTGCGTCACACAGTTTTTACTGTTCTTTTCGACTGAATAAATCTGAAATCCGAACGCTCCAAATTGCGGACGCGGCGACCAGGCACGAAGGCCGCCGTGGTCTCATTTCACAGCCGCGCAGCAGACGTGCGAGTGAACGTTTAAGTGTGCCAGGACGGCATTTCCTGCAGCAGCCTGAAGCTCTAATTAACTGCATGGGCTGCATGTAGCCCTACCTCGTGCCGTTAGTGAAGTGTCAAGTTACCTTGCGGCATGCCACCGAATGAGAGTTCACGTGGCCGTCGCGGATGCGCGCGCCAACCTGTGAGAGGGAATCTCCTACATCACTGACGAGAGAATATCGAGAAAGAGAGTACAGTTTTTACACCTTTTCCTTTACAAATTAATTATGAAATATTTAGAAAAACATTTTTTATTTCTTAATTTTTGCACTTACGAAACAATATAATCGTAGAATAAAAATATAATGATGTTAATTAATTTATTGTGCTACATGGACCCAAAAATACTCTTATTAAATTAATAATATCAGCATCTACTACTCATCATCAATTTCCACTCGAGTCTGTGGCTATGTCAAAACTTTCTGGTAGAAATTAAGTTATTCATATGAGAAGTATTTTACTATTTTTCTAACATCGGTTATTTTATTTCCGATTATTGAAAGAACAGCTTAGGCATTAACTTTCCTGAAAGGCAAATCTGGACGTGTCTTTCCTTTTGCCAACACGAATGAGTACTTGATAAGCCTGTGAATAAACGTACTCAGGTGCCACAACGTAATCAAAAGATTCTCTATCATACGTTAGCTGTTTTACTTGTAGAGTCATACCAGACTCACCATGAAGACTGACAGCACGAGCAAGAGACGTGGTTGTGCTGTGGTCGACTGCGTGCCTTTAAAAGTGCCGCCGGAAATTAGTTCCGGCGCCACTCAAGAGAGGGCGGCGATAGCAGACGCCGCGGCGCCGTCACGCTCGACTAGGCTCCGGAGCGGACGGGCGCACCCGTACCTGACAACTGGCCAGCGGACCCGCCGCCCGAGCCGGCTAAAAAAGCCGCGCCCGGCGAGCTGTCAGTCAAACGCCAGCCTACATTGTGGTAAGCCGGAAGAGCAGGCCCTCTGGCTTGAGCCTCGCCATTAAAAAAGACATTATTATTATTATTATTATTATTATTATTATAATTGTGGAGTGATAAATGGATTGTGAACAAGTGCGACGATACAGCTGCGGTTACGGACTTCCTCTCTTGGAGCAGTGAACGGCACAACTGTTGCGATTTTGGACATATTCCCGGGAAATTGTGACTTGGACATTCTTCGGTACATCTCCTGGAAAATTATTTGGATCTGGCTTTAATTTGTCTACCTCTGTACTGATTGTGGTTGGAATGAACGATGTTGAAAATCGGACAATTTCGTCGATCCATAGATCGACGAAACTTTACATTTTTTAACACACAAATTAAACTGAAATATTTCACAAAATATATAACATAAACCATTTCTAGTGACCCGCATGTGATTTTAAATTCTTGTAGTTTTAGAAAAAGTCATGTTTTTCATATCCGGAGTAGAAATGTGGCCTCCAGGAACCTTAAAATAAAAGCTTTGTTTTTTGCATCTTGCAAGCTCTCAAAATTATTTCTTCAAATTGCTTGATCACCGAAACTATTAAAGCTCAAGCGCTGAAATTCGCACACGGAATATTATATATATTGGCCTTTAATCTGAGTCTTATATGGAGTTTCTCCGGAAATCAGAACTTGCATGAGATGGAAATATTTTACAGTTACTAGGAAAAATTCACTCTAATGGCAATACTTTTGCGATTTTCTTAAAAACTAACATTCTAATCGAAAAATAAATATCACCAGTGAATTTCCCATAAAATTTCGTGCTTGGTCCGTGGTTTTCAAAAAAATCCGTTACATGTCGAAAATCGGACAATTTCGTCGATCGACGAAACTTTACATTTTTTAACACAACAATTAAACTGGAATATTTCACAAAATATATAACATAAATCATTTCTAGAGACACGCACGTGTTTTTAAATACTTGTAGTTTTAGAAAAAGTCATGTTTTTCATATCCGGAGTAGAAATGTGGCATCCAGGAACCTTAAAATAAAAGCTTTGTATTTTGCATCTTGCAAGCTCTCAAAATTATTTCTTCAAATGGCTTTATCACCTAAACTATTAGAACTACAGCGCTGAAATTCGCACACGGATTATTATGAATATTGACCTGTATTCTGAGTCTTAAATTTAGTTTCTCCGGAATCAAAACATGCATGAGATGGAAATATTCTACAGTTACTAGGAAGAAATTCACTCAAATGGCAATACTTTAGCGATTTACAACGCGAACTACAAGAATTTAAAAACACATGCGTGTGTCTAGAAATGATTTATGTTATATATTTTGTGAAATATTCCAGTTTAATTTTTGTGTTAAAAAATGTAAAGTTTCGCCGAAATTGACCGAATTTCGACATGCAACGGATTTTTTTTGAAAACCACGGACAAAGAACGAAATTTTATGGGAAGTTCACTGGTGATATTTATTTTTCGATTAGAAAGTTAGTTTTTAAGAAAATCGCAAAAGTATCGCCATTAGAGTGAATTTCTTCCTCGTAACTGAAGTATATTTTCATCTCATGCACGTTTTGATTTCCGGAAAAACTTCATTTCAGACTAAGATTAAAGTTCAATATATATAATATTCAGTGTGCGAATTTCAGCGATGTAGCTCTAATAGTTTAGAACATTGAGGCGTTTGAAGAAATAATTTTGAGAGTTTTAAGATGCAAAATACAAAGCCTTTTTTTTAAAATTCCTGGAGGCCACATTTCTACTCCGAATATTAATAACATGACTTTTTCTAAAACTAAAACTTTAAAAACCAATGCGTGACTCTAGAAATGATTTATGTTATATATTGTGTGAAATATTCCAATTTATATTTTGTGGTAAAAATGTAAAGTTTCGTCGATCGGCGAATTTGTCCGATTTTCGACATGTAACAGATTTTTTTGAAAACCACGGACTAAGCACGAAATTTTATGGGAAATTCA